CCTCCCAAGTAGCTGGGACCACAGGCGCCCGCCACAACGCCCGGCTATTTTTTTTGGTTGCAGCCGTCATTGTTGTTTGGTGGGTCCAGGCTGGGGATTCGAACCCGCCACCTTAGGTGTACATGGCTGGCGCCTTAGCCAGTTGAGCTATAGGAGCCGAGCCCACAAACTCTTATAAAAACAGAAAAGGAAATCTTCCCAACCCACAAGGGACCAGGACCAAGTAGGATTTATTCCAGTAAAGAAAGGTTCAGAATAACATCTAAAAATCAATTAGCACAATATATCATATCAATAGAATAAAAAACAAAAATGATACAATCATTTCAACAGACGTAGAAAAAGCAGAATGGCAGGATACAAGATCAATATACAAAATTAATTCTATTTCAACACACTTTCAATGAACAATCTGAAAATAAAATTAAGAAAAATATTCTATTCACAACAGTATCTAAAAGAAAATAACATATTTAACAAAAGAAGCACAAAATTTACTTCTCGGAAAACTATAAAATACTGTTGAAAGAAACTAAAGAAACTCTAAATAATTGAAAAAATAAATATCCATGTGCATGGTTAGAAGACTTAACATTGTTAAAATGCAATACTCCCCAAACAGATCTACAGCTGTAACACAATTCCTATCAGAATCCAAACTGGTTCTTCATAGAAATTGATAAGTTTGTTCTAAAATTCATATAGAATTGCAAGGGATCCAAGATAGCCAAAACAATCATTAAAAAAAATAAGGCAGGAGTAATCACATTTCTTGATTTTGAAACTTACATAAAGCAATAGTATTCAAGGTAGTGTGACCCAATAACAGACATACAGATCAATGGAATAGACTTGAGAGTACAAAATAAACCCATATATTTCTGCTCAACTGATTTTTCATCAAGAATGCTAAGATGGGGCAGTGTGGAGCTCAGTGGGTAGGGTGCCAGTCACATACACCAAGGCTGGCGGGTTTGAACCTGTACAGGGCCTGCTAAATAACTGACAATTGCAACAGAAAAATAGCCAGGCGTTGTGGTGGGAGCCTGTAGTCCCAGCTACTTGGGAGGCTGAGGTAAGAGAATCTCTTAAGCCCAAGAGTTTGAGGTTGCCATGAGCTGTGACGCCATTATACTCTATCCAGGGCAACAGCTTGAGACTCTGTCACAAAAAAAAAAAAAAAAAAAAAAGAATGCTAAGATCCTTGAATAGAGAAAAAATTGTATTTTCAACAAATGGTGTTGGGACAACTGAATATGTGCATGTAAAAGAATGAAATTGGAACTTTACCTCATACCATATATGAGACTTAACACAAAATGGATCAGATGCCATTACAGACGAGCAAAACTATAAAACTCTTAGAGGAATCACAAGGGCAAATATTCGTGACTTTGAATCTCACAAAGAATTCTTAGATATGACACTAAAAAAAGAAAAAAAAGATATATTGAATGGACTTCATCAAAATTTAAAAAAAAAAATTTTTTTTGAGACAGAGTCTCACTATGTCACCCTCAGTAAAGTGCGCTGGCATCACAGCTCACAGCAACCTCAAACTCTTGGGCTTAAGAGATTCTCTTGCCTCAGCCTCCAAGTAGCTGGGACTATAGGCAGCCACCACAACGCCCAGCTATTTTTTGTTGCAGTTGTCATTGTAGCTTTAGCTGGCCTGGGCCTACTTCAAACCTGCCAGCCTCGATGTATGTGGTTGGTGCTGTTGTAACCACTGTGCTATGGGCACAGTGCCAAAATTAAAAATTTTTGTACTTAAATCTACACTATCAAGAAAATAAAAAGTCAACCCACAGAATAGGACAAAGTATTTACAATTCATGAATCTGACTTGTATCCAGAATATATTAAGAACTCTTATAAATCAATAATAAAAAGACAAATAACCTAATTAAAACATGGGCAAAGATCGGCGCCTATAGCTCAACCGGCTAAGGCACCAGCCACGTACACCTAAGGTGGCGGGTTCGAATCCCCAGCCCGGACCCGCCAAACAACAATGACGGCT